TGTAGGATACTTTATTTTTTACCACGATATTTTCGACGACGATGTTTTTAAACTGCAAAATTTTTTAACCGCTTTATTTTGGACGACGATATTTTGTCTCACGATGTTTTGGAACTGCGACGTTTTCTCTTTGCGATGTTTTCGGCTGTAACCTAGCCAGCAATACCTGATTTCACCAGTTTGCTGGCGACTTGAGATCCAAGTAACATTGGATAGAATACAATTTTTTTTTTTTTTTTTTTTTTTTTTTTTTTTTTATTCTATGTATATTATAAGTCAACAATGACTGACGCGGCCTGGACGAAAGTGTACTATCAGTCACTGGTGACTGAAACAGTCCGAACGGAAAGTATGGTGTCAGTCATCGGTGATTGATATGGCGTTTAACGTGTTAAACAAATTCACTTTTCAGTTATCGGGGCATCAGACGTAAATGTGCGCCAAAGCGAAAAATACGGTAACTTTTTTTTTTTATTTCATCTCACGAATAGCTGTGCAATGGCATCATTACGAATAAGAGAAAAAAGTGAACATACATTTCGTAATTTTCCATTGAACTGTTTAAAGAAAAAAGAATCTGAAAGCTTTCAGATTTTAAATTACGCCCAAAGCGACTTTTTTTTAATGTTTTGTGTGTTATCTTTATTTATTAACTATCATGTTCTTCACCCTTAAACCATAAAATTCAATGCAACAGCAGTATCACAAAATATTTAAAAGTGCATATCTTAAGAATTTCCGATACAGTCTCAAGCGCTGGAGTTCCGGCCATTGCTCGCTTTGAAATTGTTGAGTTTGTTAATAAAAAACTCATAAGTCTTTACAAAATATGAAATAGATAATAAAACAAATTCCCAAATTTGGGCTTCCAGATGCCCATATTCGGGTGAAGACGTATGTTATTTCAAAATTTGATGGCTCTAGGTACCTTTGTTTTATCACAATGCGAGAAACATACATTTATGCAGATTCATTATTTAATTTCCTTAAATATAATACAGGGCTCTAATATTTGGCTGCCCAACAATTTAAAAAGTGATTCGCCGTTTCTAGTGTAGTTATTTGATTTGGCAAACTGCCAAATGGCGAAGAGTCGCGATTAAATTGTTGCATAGTTAAAATAGTGCGATTCTTACAAAAACACTTTTTTCGGAAACCACAAACTGAAATTTATTCTCTTACTACTTGAGCACCGAAATGGTGCTGCAACAAAACATAAATCACGAAACGAAATGTTTAGAAAGCAAACGTTGTTTTTTGAACGTTCGCGCATTCTTTTTCCGATTGCTACTCGATTTATTACTACTTCTAATGTCAAGAGATCATGTTTGTAGAAATCTGTCAACTGCAATTGTGGACTGGAACAACTACATACGTTCGTATTTGTAAAATTTCGCATTTTATTTACTTATTTTGTATTTAATTAAAAAAAGCTACTTATTTTTCCATTTTTAATTCGATTTGGCTCCCAAGTGGCACATTGTTAACCAAGTACCAAATAAACAAACTAATCAATTTCTCTGCCACAGAAGATTTTCCGATTTATTGTGTTGGATGCCTCAATTTGCGACAGCCTAGCTTGCATTAATCGTTCAAGATTTTCTCGCACATTTTCCGCACTTCCTAGCGCCACGAAGAGATAAATAACCTCTTAGGCTAAAACAACTAACTTTGCGGAACTCACGCACTCTCTTGCAGTAACTACGGTGACAGATTTTTAAAAATAACTATCAATACTCTCGCCACCTCTATTCCAAAACTTGCATCTAAACCAAATTTCAGATAAATTATATATTCTTACTCTTGACACATACGGCTTCTCCCGCACTTTTAAAGCGGAAACAGCAGACAACAGCAAAATCACCAAGCCGAAGCAAAGTGAATTTTTCACCTGCGCCTCCGACTTCCTATCATTGTTTTACAGAAACCACGCTCAGCTGAACTTTCCACGAGACGGATCCGTGTGAGACAATGGAAAGCGCTGATCTGTCGCGATGCATGATTCGGTCAGATTGCAGATTAGACGGCTCGCTTTCAAAAATTCCGGGCTTCCTCAACGCCGATGACGAGCATCTGGTTTCGCGTCGAAATCTGACGTCATGCAGCCAGGTCATGGAGTTCAAATGTGGACGTTTTGGATAAGACGCATCTACAGTTAGGATCGCAGAATTATCAAGACGAACTTATCATTAAACTTCTGCATTTTGCGTTTCACGGTTCAGTTGGTCTAACAGCAATTCGATTGCACAGGTGTTTACTACGTCTCTATATCTGAAACTGACTTCAAGTATTTTAATCCATTTTAAATGAAACTACATAAAATAAATTTTAATATCACTATCTTATTAATGTTTCTTATTTCCGTTCAACTATGCATTAATTTTATTTACACAAAAAAGACTAATGCAGAATTTTATCGAGAATGCTCTATATTGAGATCAAACAACGTCAAAAACTAAAAACTTTCAAGTATTTAATATTAAATTCAGGGCTTAATTTCTAAAAAATTAAACTCATTAAAATTTAATAAACAATTTTTAATATAGTTTTATTACTAAAAATAAATTTTTCAAAATCAAATTTCTATTGAAAGTGTTATTCCGCTACATACACAAAGGCTGCAGCCTTCTTATTTAGGGTACCGCTCTGACTAGAATTATGATTTATCCCCAAAACTATTCAGAAAATTACAAATATAATTTCTTTAAACACATATTAAGTGTGTGTGTGTATATATATATATGTGTAACAGATTCTGTAGTAGAACGCAGGTGGTTTTATCCATAATGAACAGCTAGAATTTTGATGCCGCAGAATGCTGAAATGCCTATCCAAAAGGAATAAGAAATTTGGCAGTCAAAGTATATTTAATTTAACTTTTATTCCAGTAAACATGTTGTGGCCAGAATCCAGTTGGCACATTAATTGTGCCTATTTCCAAAAAGTTTACATTTTGACAAGATTTGCAGTAAAAAAGAAGGCAGTCTAGCTAAGCCAAAGCAGGGAAAACAAGTGCACTATGTTCAGAGTGAAATCTTAATTCTACTCAGTTAGTTTTGGTTCTCAATGCATATTGATTGGATGGTTAATATTGCTGTAAAATTACTATTGGCTGTTTCATATAGGGAACTGTAAAATATTATTTATGCTAATTCCACTAAATGAAGTTACATGAAAGGTAGCTGGTTGGAAAATGAAAGGTAGCTGCATGTTTTAAATTCTGATGCCAAGCACCTTTTTAAATTCTAAAATTCTGCCATCAGTAAACTTTGTTGCTTGGTGCTTCTCTAAATTCTAAAAATTTTGCCTCCTGTAAATTCTGTTGTCTGGTAAAGGCATACCAGTTCTAGTACTGGTCCTCAGCTTATTTGAATAACATACCAGTTATTCTCAATTCAAACGGCACAAAATGTAATCTTTTGGTCTATGAGTATCATTCTCAAAATCTTTTTTTTTTTTTTTTTTTTTTTTTTTTTTTTTTTTTTCACATGAAAAGAAATTTTTCTTAAATTTCTTGTCAACACAATCAACACTTCACAATGCAGTTAGCTAAGTCTGTAATCATCCCAAGTATAATGTCAGCTTAAAAGGTTACCATGTTCTTTGGTATTCCATTACTAGTATTTAAACAAAAAAAATCTGATGTATACACCACATGACTTCCTTGTACGGAATATTAAATTATACGCATTTTTTCTTGCATTTCATTTAAACTTATTAGATTGAATTAAACCTACTTTGCCAACACCGCATAAACCACAATAGAAAAAATTAATTCTTTAAAATTCACTTATAAAAATTAATTCTTTAAAATATGTTTGCCATAGCGACACTTTGGCGCTTTCGTTCATATTATAACTCAGAATGCACAAAATTTATATCATTTAAAGAATTATCTAAACGTTGCCACATGTTCTATTCAAATACTATAACAAAGCTAGAACGATGTATAAAAGAAATTAAGCAAACAAAACAAAAAAGAAACAGTTTTTCACAGACGATTGAGTATTTCTTATTCAATTAATTCAGTTTTCAGTAATGTGTATATCAAAAAATTTAGCATATACTCAGCAAAGAATGCATTATTTACAATATTAAAAATAGGTTAGATGTTTTGCTATAGCAAAGCATGAGAATTATCTGCATTCTAAAAGGAAAACTTCTGAAGGACCTTTGTATAGATAATCGACTTTTATTTGCTCTATACATAAGAAGAAAAACCAAAAAAAAAAAAAAAAAAAAAAGGCCCATTCAGTCCCAACTATCCCATTCAGTCCAAGATACTAAATAAAGAAAAAATGACCAGAATTCATTACTATTACTGACTTCAGCAAAAAGATGTTTTAAAATCAGAAAGTGTCAAAAATTTCATAGGTATTAGAAAATATTATTAGCAATAACTTAGATAAATATACCATCGTTTCTAACTTTGTAAAGTAACTCAAGCTTCAAATTCAGGCAAAAACACTTCACCATTATACCATTTCTGCTTTTAAAGTTCGAAATCACAACAAATTACTAAAATGTCGTATTTGCATAACTTTTATTTATTTATTTTACACTGAAATAAAAACATATTTTATCTTTTATATAGTTTAACATACCTATGAATCATTATATTATTTGAGAAACTATTATATTACTTGACTGCACCCAAAACACTCACTTTTTCTAATAATTTTTCCAAATACGTTATTCCAGAACATTTTTGTATTCAATATTATAAATTCCGGCAATTAAAACTTGAAAATGTTTTGATAGTAATCCCCTAACCCTTTAGGTTTTTACACAACGAAATACACAGTTTTTCTTGGTGAACTGCCAGGAAAATTTGCTGGTTTGCATATAGTTTTAAGGAGTGCTGATTAAATTTTGGTTATCTTCTAAAATATTTACTTCAATTTCCATTCTTTAACATGTAAGGAAATATTAAAATCTATTCATATGAAATAATTTTTTACATGTCCGTGAAACATAAGAAAAAATTATAATAAACTTACCCATATGATGAATGACAAAAAGCATACACTATGGCGTGCAAAACTATTTATTCTACCCATTTTGACAGTTATCTGTTATTCCACACTCTTGTAAAATTTTGGCATTTTCATTAACAATTAATTTTTTTACTGGTTTTCAAAATATTTCAGCAAAAACTTGGCCATATCCAAAACATAACTTTTTAAAAAATAATTTAATCATTGTATAAGTACGCGAAACAGCTCGATACAATTGAACACAAATTTATGCGGACTAAATAACAAAATGTAATGCAAGTACTCAAAACATCACAGAACTACGAATGACAACCACGCATTGCTACAACTTCAATGAAAATGAAATTACAGACAGACGTCTTGTTTTGCACGCGCTAAGTCTTTTTGCCCCGAGGGGCAAAATATCAAGCTTAGGTGCGAAGGAAAGGTAGATAGAAATGGGCAATTTCGTGTTTCTTCGTACTCTTTATACGAGTTCAAAATGCCAGGAAGAAAAAATGGGACAAAATAAAATTAAAATAAACGGCCCAAAGTAATGTAGGAAAAGAAATAAAATAAAAAAGGGCCTACAGAAAGAAAAGGAAAAGAAGTAAAAAATTTCCTAAAAATACGATTTAGCTCATGCGTGTATTCAAAAATGGGACAAAATAAAATTAAAATAAACGGCCCAAAGTAATGTAGGAAAAGAAATAAACTAAAAAAGGGCCTACAGAAAGAAAAGGAAAAGAAGTAAAAAATTTCCTAAAAATACGATTTAGCCCATGCGTGTATTCAAAATAGGAGGAGGCTGTGTACATTTACTTTAAATAGTGTCTCCCAGGTGTCAGACAGACAGACAAAGGGGACAGATGTCTTGTTTTGCCCGCTAAATCTTTCTGCTCCGATGGGTGAAAAATCAAGCTTAGGTGCGAAGGAAAGGTATATAAAAAACAAAGGCAATTTCGTATTTCAGAGCAGAGTAAAAAAGAACTTCGTACATTTTATACGAGTTCGAAAGACCAGCACGAAAAGATGGGACAAAATAAATAAAAATAAATGGCCCAAATGTAATAGAGGGGGAAACAAAAGCCTTATAGAGAGAAAAGGAAAGGAAGTAGTAAATTTCCTACAATATGATTGTGTCCATGAGTATAGACAAAAGGGGAGAAAGCTGTGTTCATTTGCAAAAATCAGTGTCTTAAGAAGCAAACTTTTAAGTTAAAAAAAATATATAAGTTAAAAAAATCCTGCATGGCAATGTGTAAACCTTTATCTTGAGACCTAACTACAAAAGACACATATCATCACAGAGATGTACATATTATTTTAACTAAATTTTAACAAACATGTATATACGTAAAAAGCAAATTTTAAAGTTAAAATAATTAAAAAATGTGCAAACATATAAAAGATTTAATTTTCGAACTAATCTACAATATCATTTAAATTCAGAAAGCATAAGTAAATCAAGTGCAAAACCAAACCATGAAAATAAATTCACCAATTTAGCAAATTAAAATTAATCTAAAAATTTTTTTAAAAAAATGCATAAGTGAATGACTGTTGAGCAGGCAGGAGACAGACTTATCAAGGGGAAGTTGCCTCCAAACCTAACACTACAATCATTCAGACAGACAGACAGACAGACAAAGTAGACAGATGTCTTGTTTTGCACCCGCTAAGTCTTTGTGCACCGATGGGCGAAAAATCAAGCATAGGTGCGAAGGAAAGGTATATAGAAAGAGGGGCAATTTCGTATTTGAGGAGAGTAAAAAGGAACTTCGTACATCTTGTACGAGTTCAAAAGACCAGGAAGAAAAGATGGGACAAAATAAAATTTAAAATAAATGGCCCAGAAATAATAGAGGGAAAAAGAAAGAAAAGGAAAAGAAGTAGAAGTAGAAAATATCCTAAAATACGATTGTGTCCATGAGTGTAGTTAAAAGGAGAAGAAGACTGTCTTCATTTACAATAAATAGTGTCTCACAGGTGTGTTTGTGTAGTGAGTGTGTTTGGTAATGGTGAATAGATGTGTTACTGGGGAAAAAAAACAATATTGATGGTGTTAAAATTTGCTTCGTATCAAGGTATTTAGCATGGAATATAAAGTAATATGTACGCTTGCATCCTGAGATATCAACAAAGGTCATCAAACAAAAAAGTATATATTAATTTAACCAAAGTAACTTATGCTACTTTTCATTCTCAACATTTTCATACATTTTTCAAAAAAGCAGCAGCAGCAGACTAACAACATAGAACCATATACAATACAAGACCACAACCGCATACACCCAAAAAAAAAATAAATAAAATAAAAAATATATATATATATATATATATATATTTATTATGTGTGTAAATTACTGAGTATATGTATTAAAAAACACAAATTAAACAGTATTTATTAATTTAACTATCATAATTTATTACAAGATTAATTATTTTACTATCATAATTTATTACTAGTTAAATAATGTTAATATAACACAATGAGGCACACTGTTATTTATATAAGCTCATAGTTCTAAAAATTCATTTAAGGCGGTGTGAAGAAAAAACCATCCCTTACATATGGACATTTAACAGATAGCAAAGAACAGTATGAGAAAAAATCGGTCGGTGAGGTATAATATTATTTAAAGGCGAAACTATATTCAAGCGATCTAGAAAGAAAAGAGAATCCAGAAAAGATCCGAGAGGGAAATAGCGCGATGCCCCCCAAATTATCCCTCTCATCCCCAAATTTTCCCTCTCTCGAGATTCCTTAAGGGCTTTGTAAGTGTTGACAGACGTGAACTGATAAACGCTGGCGTCTGTTTCGAGTTGATACACAAAGGAAGCCACAAGCATGGCAATTTTCAAGTATTTTTTAATGCTTTAAAACTGATGAAAAATTAAGATTTATTGATTTAAAGGCACTTATTTATAGAAATTTGATTTAGTTAGATAGATGAAAGAAAAGTACTTATCTTAAAATTCCAGGCTTTTGGAGTATATCCTTACATTGTCCGCTGTTTATTCTCGTCAACATCGGAGCCGAAATTCATTGGAATGATATAGGTTTTGTAGGGGAAAAATAAACATTTTTCAAAGAAATTTAATTGATAATCACCAAGAGGAAAGGAAAAATTTTCACTTTTTTACGGAGCGCAGCGATCGTGCTGCCGCTTGCCTCGGTGATCACACCCGCACCCCCACTACAATCATTCAATTCGTGTTTCGTTATTCATGCAGGCAAGGGTAAAGTCATACATGTTTGTTAAAATGCATGTTTGTTAAAATTTAAAATTTCATTTCCTGCAGCAATGTCGCAAAGAATTAATAATTGTATTAATTCAATTATTCTTTGAAAAATTATTTTGCAAAGTAACATTAACTATTACCACTCCAAAAAATTCTTGTATTTCAGAAAAAACAGTAATTGACAAATCATAATCCATACACAGTGTGAGAGCATTCAGCAAAATAAATTATTATACGTTTTTTCTTAAATATTAGTTAAATATAAAATTTATTTATTAATTTAACCGTTTTAATTTATTATAGTACAAGTTTAACAAATTCAATCTCACTTTATTTATATTTGATCATAATTTTGAGACCTGAAAAAAAAAAAAAGTCGGGGATCTTAGTTAACAAAAATCACAATCTATACTCATCGATGGTTCAAGAGATCCCCATTTTTTTCCCTCTCAAGAAATTCCTAAGCACGAAAAGGGGGCCTCCGAAGGGTGTGAATTGCTGATAAGAACAAGGAGGTTAGAATAGGAGGTCTACTCTAACCTCCTTGATAAGAATGGAGTACTGATAGGAATGTGGCGTCTGTACGGAATAGTTACGAAAAAAGAACCACATGACTTGCTACTATTACTAACTATTGTATAATGCTAGAATCTTATGAAAATAATAAAGAAAGAAATGTAATGGCACTTTAGTAATATAGAATAAGATATTGTATTGTTATTTATCTTAATATTCCGTTTCAGGATTTGGATTTCTCGTGTAGAGATTGAACAGCGAAAAAGATATTTGAAGTTTCGAAAAAGCGAAGTTTCCTTTTTCAATTTGATGGATGAGACATTGCAGAGGAAAGGTGCATTAAACTTTTTAAAAGTTGAAAACATTTACTGAAACACTTATTTAAAAATTTTCGGAGCTATGTTTAGACACTGCCTTTAGCTTTCGTGATCGCAGCCTACAGTACTTTCCATGTCCGCCGTCTTGCCCCACAAGCCTTCTCCCAGGTGCTGGAAACTTGTTAAGCGGTTAAAAGTAGACCGACAGTGAATTTTATTTGTTTATTATTTAGATTCTCGGATTTTCAGGTATAATTTTAATTTTCAAACCTTTAATTTTCTACGTTTA